ACTGACTTGTTTAAATTGTCATAGTCTCTCATTCTATCTCTCACTTTCTTTCCCATGGAATAGTCTAATGTATCTCCCCAGAAAAATACATATGTACAAAAAATTTATACAATTTTGAGGGGATTTTTAGATCCCCTGAGGGTCTATTCATGGAATCCAAATTAAAATCTCCTAAATATACTTCTGAAATAATCCAGACAAGAGACAATAGTGAAAAGAGGCAATAGTGGTAGGGAATTGTAGTAGGAAAAGAAAGAAAAATGTGGGAGATATTAATCAGAATTTAGACAGCAAACAAAAATAAGAGAAAGAGGAGGCATCAAGGATGTGACCTTAAGGTATGTAACCTTCACATGTATGAAATGAGGATAACCTCAGAAGGTCACCAAGAAGATAGCAAGAGGAGGGCAGAGGAAATCATAACTTTGTTTTTGGCTATAAGGCATTTTGAGATGCAGGCAGTATTGTCTATTAAAAATGTAGGCTGAAAACTCAGAAAATATGTCAGAACTACTGGTTCAATATTTTTGAATGTCTGCTCTGGGCACGTGAAAAGACACAAGAAATGTTAGGCTGAGGAACGTGACAGCAGGGACCGTGCTGCGGATAGAGAGGGTGAAGACTGGGAAAAGAACACTGCATTTGAAAATCAGGAAGTTCATGCTGATCTGGCCAAAGAGTCTTAGGTTGGGTCAGACCATTTTAGGATGGGTATGAGAAAGAAGCTGAGAAGCATAAGCAGGAATAAACAGATAGCACTTTCAGGAACTCTGGCAAAAGAGAGGGCAGATTTAGGGAGACAGAGTGCAAGGGAACCTCTTCTTCTGGAACAAGTTAAGTAAACTGGAGAAGAGGAAGTAAATAAGCTGAGGTATGCCTGTGGGGTTCTGTTTACTATGTGAAGTAGGGGCTTAGATCATCTGCAAAATGAGGGATGAGAAGATGATATTGAGAAACAATGATAAAGGTTTGGAAAGAATTGGGGAATTGGGAAGATGTGTGGGGAAGCGTGCTTGAGCAGACAGATGCCATTAGGCAAGTGAATTCAGCATATGAAATTCAGGTCACTGAGGGACTCTCCTCTTTATTGTAATTACTAGTATATAAGCAACTCACACTTTTAGGTAAGGTATAGATTCTTATTCAACTCTACAAATATAAATGTCATCAAAGCTGGTATAAGAATCTCGACCTTTTTTTTTTTTTTTTTTTTTTTTGGTTTTAACCATCTCATCACCTTTTTTCTTTTTTAAATATATTTTTATTGATTTCAGAGAGGAAGTAAGAGAGAGAAATAGAAACATCAGTGATGAGAGAGAATCATGGATCGCTGCCTCCTGCACACCCCCTACTGGGGATCAAGCCCGAAATCTGGGCATGTGCCCTTGACTGGAATCGAACCCGGGACCCTTCAGTCTCCAGGCAGGCGCTTTATTCACTGAGCCAAACCAGCTAGGGCATAAATACTTCTATTGATTTCAGAGAAGAAGGGAGAGAGAGAGATAGAAACATCATGATGAGAGAGAATAATTGATTGGCTGCTTATTTCCTTTTTTCAAAATGGAATCTTAAAGTTTAGTAACATAAGATAAATAACAATATTCAGTTAATTTAATTTGAAATCAACATATGTATAGCTCAATTCTGTTATCTATCTCATTCAAAGTGTGAGGTCAAAACTATCACATGATTTGTAGGCAACATTTTTCCTCCATTTTCTACTAAGTTTGGGGCTTTCACTTTCATTTCTAAGTCATTTCCATCTTTTCTTCTTCCACAACAGCTTACATAAGTAAGAACCATTGTGGGCTAATAGTATAATCAAATATAGTTACAATGTATTACTTCTTTAATTTTCTGTGTTCAGTTACTTAACTGCTTGTTTTACTAACTGCTTCTGTTAATCATCTTTCTTAAAAATAATAACTAATTTTACTTGAATGAGGCACAAACATATTAACAATTCTTGGTTATAACAACATAAAGGAAGGTGGTAGTGAAAAGCATTATCCAAAATGGTCAAAAATAGATTTAAGTTCTGGAATTGAAGTTGCTAATTACATTTGAATATAGGAATAAATGAAATCCTGGAATATCATATTATTTCATTCACCCAACAAATGCTACATTTGGTGATGGAAAGATGATTGCTTCTATTTTCTCAGTGAAATAAAGATTCCAAGTGACTGGTGGCTGGTGAAGATGGAAGAAGGGAAGAGGTAGTGTCAAAGATTTGAGGAGAATGGAGAGAAACTAGTAATCTCAAAGAGTAGGAAATTAAACTGACTAGAGAAATACAGAAGAAATACCAGAAACTACTGCTTACAAGACATACTAATGGCCCACCTGAGATTTGGTTCTTAAATTTAAAATGAGATCAGACACCATGGTTTTGTGTTTTTCTTAAGCCATATTTAATAGTCTGGGTACTGATACAGAGTAGGCAGTAGCTGAGACACCTTGGGGCTTTGACACACATAGAAGACGAAGGGTAAGGCCAGTAAGGGTGTGTGTAAGGAAGATATAAATGTGATAGACCATGGAATCTAAGCTGGGTAAAGAGGGAAGAGAGGACAAAACGGTTGGGAAGTGACAGAGCAAATTAACTGGAGGATCCCATGGGATCAAAGTTGCTGGACTTGGCATGGGAAGAATGCTAGAAGTAAGCAAGGATCAAATGGAAGGTGGCTAGAGAGCAGGATGCTTAAAACTGAGATTCCAGAAGTGGTTATTGGTAATGGCAGAGTCTTGGGTCTGACCAAACAGTGGATGGCTGAGAAGGAGTGAAAGAAATGAGGAAGTCAAAAAAGTGTAAAGATAGATTGCTGAACAAATTATCAACAAGGACACTAAAGTCACCCAACATACAAATAAATCATACAGGAAAGATTACAGTTAGGAAAAGCAAGTGAGCCAATTTCTTTATCTGGCTCCCTTGTTCATTCCTCACTAGCAGGGCTACTCTTGTTCTCTTTCATTTTGTTCTCCAAATGGTACTGACAATGAAAAGTATTAATGTTTATTACTACATCATTAAGTAATATCTATTACTAAAGGCACAAATAATATAAAATGCTAAAGAAATAAGCATAGCAAATGGTAATGCCATTGTTTACTAAAGATTTAAGTTAATGAGACACTGGAACCTCACGATAAGACTACATTCAGTAACGAACTTAATATAAGGCTTGTATCTCATTCTAGACTCCTCGCCATAAATTATGTTTAATGATTCCATGGGATATGAACCACAAAGCTTCATTTTAATTATGCTTTACAATAGATACCTGTCAAAAGGAAAAAAGTATGATTTGTGGTCAGGTGCCAAATAAGGGAGGATTGACTGGATTAAATGTATTAAGAAATAAATCAAGTGAAAAACTCCAGAGAACATTAAAAATTACTAATAGCCCCACTTTTCTGACCAATGATTCTCAAACTTGGATATCAAAAACTAGCAAAAGAACTTAAAACAAAATAAAAAACCTAGGGAGACATGCTGTCATTAAGTGGCTCAGTTTTTATTTTGCAAAGTAAAGATTTCTTAAACAAACAAACAAATCAAACCTGACATCTATCACCACCATTTCATATAAAATGTATTTAATACTAAAAGGTAGAAGGATATAATCTCAAAATAAAGGACATTCTTTTGTATTAAATAAACTTGGTTTTATGTACAATGTTAATAGTAAAGGCTTTTGAAGTCAGCTTGCCTGGATTCAAATCCTGGTTCTTCTATTTACTAGCTAGGAGTAACAACAGCAACAACCTCAAAAGGTTATTACAAGGATTAAACATACAGTACTTAGCATTCTTCCTGGCACCTAGTAAGAGCTCATAAATATTGGCTATTAAATAATATTAGCTTATATTTTTTATTATCTTGCTGTAAAGGAGTGATGCCAGACTCCCAACTGGCATGTGAGAATTAGAACTATTAAGTGATTGTAAAACTTGAAAAAAAACAATTTTGCTTACAAAATTTTTTTCTGAGAGTGACTACTATGGCCATTTAATATTATAATTCTATTGTCACTTAAATATTGCAAACTATAGTAACCATTCCATTGATGAACATCTAGCTCCAAATTAAATGAGCAGGAAAAGATATGGATCACATCATTTTCACAAAGACTTCACTAGTGTTTGGTAAGCTGGGAATTCTCCATGGTTACCCTCTTTCCTCTGGGTAGATTACTATCTGTCTCAATCCTGCCTGCTTCTCTTGTGCTGTAGGCAGTCAATTCATAATTATTTCTCAAGCTTTCCAAGCTCATGTATAGTCAATATGTAGCTCATTCATAAAAGCCAGGCTACCATGATTATCAGTTCCACATGTACACATCCTTCTATCATCTTTTCCTTGCCTGTCTTATCATAATATGTATGTTTCTTTTCCAAAGTTTCCTTATTTCCCCCATTGCAACCATTCTCAGAGTCCCCAACTGCCAGATATTAGAAAGCTGCCACTCCCATTTCTTAGGGAGCACACACCCTGCTCTGTTGGCACTCACCAGGGATGACTTGGTTCTACCGGGATGAATTGGAGCTATTTCTGGGTATGTCATCCAAAAGGGTATTTGCAATGCTACATTACCACAGCCCATCCTTTGCCCCTTAGTTTGAGATAGATTAGTATAAGATGCCTTCTTATCTCACTTCTAGCTACCACTCTCTCACCTGAATCAGCAGTTCTCCCAACAATGTACAAAATGTGTACTACTGTTTTGAGCCTCAGGTGTTGATATCCAGGGGTTATAATCATACAAATTTTTGGTGAGGAAAACTTCAAGAGGTTGTAAGGTTTGTACTACAAATAGCTTGAAATGATTTCTGATTTAAAAGTCTAAATGGAATAAAGCCTTACCTAATATAATAAGACTTACCCAGCCCCTCTGATAAAAATGATACATGAAAATATTTGTTATCTAATACACTACTTGCAAACTCTTTTCTTAAAATAGCTCCATGAAAAATACACAGCCTTACTTCTGTAATAAAATGAATAAACAGTAATCTTTACTATTTGCAATCTTTCAAACACTATCCAAAAAGTGACGTTTGTATCTTAGAAAGCAGTGAAATTTTCTTTGTTTGCTTGAGACTTTATCAGAGGTCAGCTGCAATGATGAAAAATTGCCAGTCAACTTTTATTTATCCAAAAGTGGAATAATGAGAGCAAACGCTAATTTTACACAATAGTGAGCAGAATAATAAGTCAGAAGTTGATCTCAAATTAACATCAGGATAAGGAGTGTTTAGTTCATTTTTGTAGGCAGCATGATCTATGAAGAGAGAGAAAAGTATGAAGTGGGTTTTGAACGATAACTGATATTTAAAAATTTTTTTAAATATATTTTTACTAGAGGCCCAGTGCACAAAAATTTGTGCACTGGGGGGGGGGGGAGGGAGGGTCCTTCAGCCGGGCCTGTGCCCTCTCGCAGTCTGGGACACCAAAGGGGATGACCACTTGCTGGCTTAGGCCTGCTCCCCAGGGGGATTGGGCCTAAGATGGCAATCAGACATCCCTCTGGCAGCCCAGCAGCCCTTGGGGGATGTCCACTTGCCAGCGGGGAGCAGGCCTATACTGCAGTTGGACACCCTTAGCACTGCTGAGGAGGCAGGAGAGGCTCCCACCACCACCGCTGTACTGGCAGCCATCAGCCTGGCTTGTGGCTGAGCAGAGCTCCTCCCATGTGAGAGTGCCCTGACCACTAGAGGGCAGTTCCTGCATTGAGCGTCTTGCCCCCTGGTGGTCAGTGTGTGTCAGAGTGACCAGTCATTCCCAGTCATTCTGCTGTTAGGGTCAGTTTGCATATTACCCTTTTACTATATAGGATAGAGGCCTGGTGCACGGGTAGGGGCCGGCTGGTTTGCCCTGAAGGGTGTCCAGGATCAGGGTGGGGGTCCCGCTTGGGTGCCTGGCCAGCCTGGATGAGGGGATGATGGCTGTTTGCAGCTGGTCACACCCCCTTCAGGGTGGGGGTCCCCACTGGGGTGCCTGGCCAGTCTGGGTGAGGGGGTGAGGGCCGTTTTCAGGCTGGTGGGTGACTGAAGCTCCCAACCTCTCCTTTCTTCTTTTTTTTTTATTCTGGGATTTATTTACCTTCTATGGCTGTCACTGGAACTGAGAGCTGGCTTTAGCTCTGAGGCTCAGCTCCAGCTCTGAGACCTCGGCTGCTGAAAGCAGGTATCTGGGTTTGTTTGGCTTCTATAATTGAAACACTGTTGCAGCTCCAGCTCTGAGGCCCGGCTGGCTGAAAGCAGCTTTCTGGGGTTTGTTTAGCTTCTATAATTGCAACATTGTTTCTTAGAGTGCAGCTCAGAGGCCAGCAGCGGCAGGCGGGGAACCTTGGCTTCCTCCATCACTGGAGCAAGCAAGCCACCTGTTCACTTCAGCTGCCTGGCTGCCTGCCGCCATGTTGGTTGGCAGTTAATTTGCATATTGCCCTGATTAGCCAATGGGAAGCGTGTCAGAGGTATGGTTAATTACCATGTTTGTCTATTATTAGATAGGAGGATTGATTTCAGAGAGGAAGGGAGAGAGCATGAATGATGAGAGAATCATTGATCAGCTGCCTCCTGCACACCCCCTACTGGGGATCGAGCCCACAACCCAGGCATGTGCCCTTGACCGGAATTGAACCCGAATCTTTCAGTCCACAGGCCGACACTCTATCCACTGAGCCAAACCAGCTAGGGCCATGGTCGGCAAACTGCAGCTCACGAGCCACATGTGGCTCTTTGGCCCCTTGAGTGTGGCTCTTCCACAAAATACCACGTGCAGGCGCGCACATACAGTGCAATTGAAACTTCGTGGCCCATGTGCAGAAGTCGGTATTTTGTGGAAGAGCTGGTATTTTGTGGAAGAGCCACACTCAAGGGGCCAAAGAGCCACATGTGGCTCGCGAGCTGCAGTTTGCCAAGCCGCAGTTTGCCGACCACTGAGCTAGGGCAATGATAACTGATGTTTAAAGGGAAATCTCAAATAGCTTCCAGTTCAAATGCAGAGATTCACTATGTTTGCCAAAGAGCGACGCTAGTGGCAAGTCAGGACATATTCACAAGCCTTGCAAGCTTCTCTCTGCAGTTATGCAAACCAAATTTGAATGCTTCTTTTTTAAGTAGTGCATGCACTTCAAGAAAATACCATCACAAATTAATATTAATATTTGATCTTTCACTTTAAAGTTTGCCTAATTATAATTTCTCCTATGATTTAGTTCTATTCAACTTATCATTTTGGTACTATGATATGATTATTTAAGAAACAGTTTAGAATTTTCCAGCCAAGCAATGAAGACTTGGAGCATAATTTCCATCAACTCATAATGTTTGTTTGTTTCAAAGACAGTCAATCATCATCTAAAACAGGTTATTATCTACATTTGCATAGCTGTGCACTAATCGAATCTTTAGGGAAGGAAACACTTAAGACTAAAAACACAACTTCTGACCTCATTTGAGCAGTCAGATCTTTGATAAGCCTGACTAGGTATCATTTTGTCTAGTAGAGACTTGCTGTTGCCCCACCAACTGTAAATTACCAAGAGTGCTTTGAGTTCCGTTACAATCAAGTGAGAAGGGCCTATGCCTGGAGCTCCAAGCAGCTGTGCAAGATGTCTACCACCTGACTGGTCTATACCCAAATTAGTCAACTGAGATTTAATATAGATCTTCTCATTAGATAGTCTAGAACTAAAGATGGGGTATGTGTAGCAACTCTCCAAACTAATCTTTGCTGACACCCCCTCCCTTTTACACTCCCTCCTAGGGTGTGGCCTGGTATTTTGTGAATTCTTGATGACAAAGATCATGCTTCTATTAGCAGGTCTTGCCTTGCTGCCACCTGGCAGCATGTATCTTCATTGGTTTCAGAATTTTACAGCTTTTCCTTTCTTCTTTTTTTTTCATCCATCCCTTAGGTTTAAGCTCATTTTACTTGCTGTTCTATAAGGCCTCTGCTTCAACTAACCAACATCTTGTCATCTATCAGTTCATGTTCTTCTGTTCCTCAGGAATCAGCTCCTTAATGAATGGCACCTAATTCTGAACACATCTGACTGTTAATACCACCTAGCTCTGATCACACCTTTGAGTTCTCTTCTTTAATACTTACAGTAGTTGTCAAACTTTAACAAGCACCAACATCCAACGGAGCTTGTTAAAATGCAGATTTCCAGGCATCACTCCTAGAAATTCAAATTCATTAAGTCTATAGTGGAGTTGAAGAACCTGAATATTTAATAAGCCCATCCCTAGGTGATTCTAATGCAGGCCAGAGGACACCTTGGAAAACATCATTCATAGTTACAACTCACACTATATTAAATTGCTTTCTAAGAGTCCTTAGGTTTTTATTCTATTTAGTGTATATGTTTTATAGTCTCAAATCATAAGCTGGTAAGAAAACATTTTTTATTCCCCGACAAGTTGTAGTTGTAAAACAGCAATGAGCTATTCTAACAAGATAAAAGTTATCAAGAGTAAATGTAAGATTCCTGTTCTTGAGTACAACTGGGCGAGATATGGCTTTGTGAGTTACTCAACAGTAAATTCAATATGAGTCAAGATAGAATGTAGATGTCAAAAATGTTAATGCAACTTCAGCCTGCATTAAGAAAAGACTGATGTTTTGAAAAAAGAATGAATATTTCTGGTCTATTTTAAACAGGGACCACACTTACAGTACTCAAACTGATTTCCTGGGTTTCACAACTTAAGGTGAATATAAACAAATGTTAAAGTTCAGAGAAATGTGAATAGAATGGTAAAGGACTAAAATTCAAGTTACAAAAAGATTGGCTGGAGGAACCAACCAAGTTGGAGATTCAGTTTAGAGAAAAGATGAATCTACAGGGAGTTTATTCTGGACAAAATAATATCTTCCCAAACCTAAAGGGCTTTCATAGGGAAGTAGGGTAATCCTTGTTCTGTATGGTCTTAGGGGGAGAATTGAGTGTGTAGTAGAAGCTATAAGTATATTCATCCTACATTAACTAAGGAAGATTCAACTTAAACCTCCAGTTGTCCAAAGAATTGGACTGCAGCATTCAGAGAGAATGATTTTCTTGTCACTGGAGGAATTCAAGCTTAGCCTAATCAACTTGGCAGAAGTTATTCGTCAGATATGGAGAGGAAATTCAAATGAAAGACAAGTATGTGAACTAAATGACTTTTATGATCCCTACACTACTGAGATTCTACAATTCTTCTGATATTCTCTGACTGAACCAGATAGTTTTGCAAAGTGAGCTTTGAAATAGTCCAGGATGGGAAGAAAGGAGACTGAAGACTAGTAAGATAATAAGGAGGCTATTGCTATTGTTTAAGTATAATTTACTGAGGCTATGAAAAAGAAAAAAGGAATGATCCAAAGAACAAAACAAAGAAAATTAGGAGTATTCAAGACTGCATCTGAAAAACACAAGCACACATAAATACAGCCAACTGATCTTGGTCAAAGGACAAAGGCAGTACAATGGAGCAAAGACAGTCTTTTCAACAAATGGTTACTGGAGCCCTGGCTGGCATGGGTCAGTTGGTTGGAGCATTGTCCAGTGCACCGAAGGGTTGTGGGTTTGATTCCCAGTCAGAGCACATACCCAGGTTTCCAGTTCAATACCTGGTTGAGGTGTGAACAGGAGGCAGCCAATCGATGTTTCTATCTCACATCAATGTTTCTCTTTCTCTCTCACTCTCCCTTCCTCGCTCTAAAGTCACTTTAAAAAACAAACATATATATCCTCGGATAGGAATTAAAAAAAAAAGTGGTTACTGGCAGAACTAGACACCCACATGACAAAAAAAATATTAATCTAGACACAGGTCTTACATATATCACTAATTTAGTGTTCCAATTAGCAATTCTCCAACAAGTAATTATTGAGATTTGAGAATTCTCAAATCACTCCGATAGGCAATTCTTGGAATACCAGCTGGGTGTCTGATAATTCAACTTAATTCTGGTAATATCTACCTGGAGGTAGCATCAGATTCCATAGATTGTGGGCTCAATCCTACAAGACAAAATATATCCCCCACCTCCAACTTCAGATGTCAGATTATTTATTACCTGTACTTCTGATTGACTGGCTATAGATTGGAGGTTCCAATAACCTCCTCCTTAGCAACTCAATTCAGATGTCAGTCACATTGTTACCTGTACTTCTGATCAACTTGCTATGAATCAGAGGTTCCCATTAACTTGCTAACTCGGCTCACAGAACTCAGAGAAAGACTGGTTTATTATAAAATAACTCAGGAACAGCCAGATGACAGACGCATAGGGCAAGGTACAGGAAAAGGGTGCAGAGCTCCATGCCCTCTCCAAGCACCACCCTCCCTGCACCTTCACGTGTTCAATCCAGAAGCTCGCTGAACCCAGTCCTTTTAGTTTTTTCTGAAGGCTGTTTTACACAAGCATGAGTAATGAAATCATTGGCCATAAGGGATTGAAGGCAATCGTTAGCCCCTCTCCCTTCCTCAGAGGTCAGGGAGTGGGACTAAAAGTTCTAATCACAGAAATGGCTCCACTGGCAACCAGCCCCCATCCTTAGGTGCTTTCCTATAGACTTATTATTATTTTTGTTTGTTTGTTCATCCTCACCCAAGAATATTTTTTCCATTGATTTTTAGGGAGAGTGGAAGGGAGGGATAGAGATAGAGAGAGAGAAATTTCAATGTGAGAGAGACATGTCCATTGGTTGCCTCCCATATGTGCCCTGACCAGGGCCAGGGATTGAGCCTGCAACTGAGGTATGTGCCCTTGACCAGGATTGAACCCTTGATACTTCAGTCCACAGGCCAATGAGCCAACCACTGAGAAAACCGGCCAGGGCCAATGGACATATTATTAACACAACACCACCATTATCACTCTCAACACTTAGGAAGTCCTATGTGTATTGGGAGCTGTGAGTCAGAACCTGTGGATGAAAACCAAATATATATGAGAAATATAATTTGGTCAACTGATTCAATCTTTAGTTTAGACTGTGATAATAAACTATCATCTTTCTCTCCTATGTTGACACAGTACCTACTGGAGCCATTACCACTTATAAGACAAATCTGAATTTTGAACGGCTGTGTTCTATGTCATTTACTATCATATATGGTCAGTTTTCTTTAGCCAGATAAAGAAAAATCAGACCACAGAAAATCTGTAACTAAGTAAAGTGAGTCTTCCCTATCTTTTTCTAAGCTCATCACAACCACAGTTGGTTGCCTAAATGAAGAGTTGCAGAGGAAGCCAAAGTAATCAGGTAGCAGACAGAAAAGTAAGAGCCAATAAAGAGAAGTTTCATGGAAAGAAAAGTCCAGTAAAAGAAAAAAGTGTCAGGCAAAAAAGTTGTTGTGGATCACCATGGAAATGTCCCTGGAATGCACTAGTAATCTGCAATTTGGATAATTCTCCTATGTATATTTGAGATTTGACTGAATCTATCTGATGTGTGGATTAGCAGCATACTAATTACAGGTTTATCCTATAGTAACCATTCATTACCAAAAGGCATTTAAGTCGTGCTAAGTTTTCTCCCTCATGACAGGATTCTAGATAGATTTTTTAAAATCAAAGCACTTCTAAAAAATTCTATCATTATGGATAAATTCGAGTAAATACAAGTATAGACAGTATAGAAGGTACAGATGTGTGTGTCTTTATATATCAGTTTTCAGTCACTCCAGAATAAAAATAGGACTCAAAACTATTACTTGCCCAGAGAAAAGATACTGTGTTAAAGTCAGAGGTATTAGTGAAGAACTCAAAGTCACATATAAATCTCTTGAGTAATGAATACATTATCTATAATAACTTTCAATCTCAAATTTCACACTATTAGTAAAATGGTATAGAAGGAATTTACTGCTGTCTACTCTAACTTCTTTGTAAAACCTGAAAGAATATCATGTTAATTATTAAAAAGTTTCTTGCAGGGTTTTGGTCAGTTTTATTTAATTTAAATTATGGACATATTATCAAAGGTAGATTGCTCCAAGTAACAAATCAGATTGAACTGCGAGAAAAGTCTTGTTGAATCATGGTAGAAGTACTCTCCTAAATAATTTTTTGTTAAGTTCTGGGCAGCATTTTGCTAACATTATTGCTCATTCTTTCTTTCATTTCCCTTCCTCCAACATCCTATTCTCTATTTTGTCTATCAAAATGGTTGTTGTTTTTCCAAGTCAGTATATCACATATAAGAAACTGACAAGATTTATAGAAGTGGTGGAACATTTATCAGCTCCTCTCTGATGGAATGTGATAAAAAGTAAATATAAATCAGCCAAGGTATGAGTTCACAAATTAAAAAAAAATATTTCCAAGTGTCCCCTTGACTACCTTATCAACAAACACTGTTCAAAATGGGTAATTACAAAACAGCATAATATAAGGCGTGTTAACTATTTTCAACAGCAATAAAAGTTTAAGATAAGAGAATATATCTAAACATTTGATTAAAGTAAATGGATTAAAGATTTCTGCCTTCTACAGAGCTATAAAAGCGCCTTTTGGCAATATAACAATACCAATCACATACCATCTAGAAAGGGTTTGATAGTGAGCCAGGTACTGTGTTAGAAAATTTATACACATTAATGCTATCTTGACAATAAACTTTTAAAGTAAATAACTTTGCAGGTTGGGGTACCAAGGCTCACAGAATTTAGGGTTCAAGGCCCTAAGTATACAAGTGACAAAGTGGTAATGGCCGACTCAAAGCCAGCTTTGTTTGTTGTGCCCAAGAGTCTTCTTACTGCTGAGGAAGAGATACTAATTTACTATTACAGGGCTTATTTACATAGAATTTTGCTAATGCTATTTATCTTTTTGAAAGATAAAATGTTATCAATATATTTTTTCATGATAGATTAAGAAAAAAGTCACAGAATGGTGACTGTGTTATTCTCTATAAACAGAAAAATAAATCTATACATTACATAGTTCACAGAGTCAAAAACACTATGGTTATAAATACTTAGAAAGAGGTCTGGAAAGATTCCTGCCGAACTCTTTCCAGCAATTCCCTCTAGGAGAGGGAGTAAAATTGGGGTGGATAAAATGAAGGGAGATATCAATTTTCACTCTGCATATCTGTGTCATTTTATGAGGATGCATTACTCTTATAATTTGTAAAATAGAAAACACACATGTGCATGCATGCACACACACACACACATGCACAATACACACTATATTGACCCGATGCCTTTAATTTTGAACACTGTTTTTACAGCACACATACATAAAAATGGCATTTCCTACTGAGGCAGATAGTAGGTGACAAGAACCTAAGCAAATACTTTTCCCCTTATTTCTGGAGTTTAGCTCTATTTCAAATCAGTGCAAGAGGTCTTTCCTAGATTAAGAAGGAATCTAAAAGGACCTACATAGATTTAGTAATGAATTATAAATATCTGCTGTGACCTTTAAAGGATGCGCCTTGCCCTAGCTGGTTTGGTTCAATGGATAGAGCGTCAGCCTGCAGACTGAAGGGTCCCACGTTTGATTCCGGTCAGGGTTGTGGGCTCGATCCCCAGTAGGGAGCGTGCAAGAGGCAGCCAATCAATGATTCTCTCTCATCATGGATGTTTCTCTCTCTCTCCCTCTCCCTTCCTCTCTGAAATTAATAAAAATAGATATATACATATTTAAAATAAATAACTAAATAAAGGATGTGCCTCAAGTCTTTACTGCTTCAACATATCTGCTTCTTCCCCATATTGCCTACTTTGCTACTTTGGTTCACAATGTGCCTTGTTTTATAAGATACTACTTTGGGATGTGCAAATAATAATGTTGTTCCCAAATACACTGGAAGCATATTGAGGGCAGGAGGTGGGTCTAACTGTCGAAGTGTTCTACAACTGAGGTTAATCAAGTTCTTGGCATTTATTCATTTCTTAAAAATTCATATGAGCAGCCACCATGCCAGGAGCAGAAAATATGCTAGTGTCAAAATGAGCAATGTTTCTTCTTCTGGGGGTACAGACATGGGGAGAAAAGTCTGGAATATAGACATGTAATGAGCAATTATATTACAATGTAATAATGCATAAAAGAACATATGGGATTATTGGAACACAGAGGAGCAACACTAAAGCCAAAAACACCCTGAAAAAAGCTGCAGCCTAAAGGGAGGAGTTAGATAAAAAGATGGTGAACAAACAACCTTGGATATAAAGCAGGTAAGAGACAGTAGCATGGCAAATTAGAGGACCTGAAAATAGCACAGGCTGGCTGGAACCCAGAGCAGTGGCTGAACCCAGAGCATGGGGAGGGGCACAGGCTGACAGGCGGGAAAGTTTGGCAGGGGCCATACCACATAGAGCTTGTAAGCCATGGAAGGAGTTAAGGAGAGCTACTAAAGAGTTTTAACCAGTGGAGTGACAGGATCAGGCTTGCCTTTTTATAAAAATCGCTCCAGTTACAGTGTGGAGAATGGATTAGAGAAGGGCAAGGCTGAAGGCTTAGGGAGCAATTCAGGCAAGAGATAATGGTGTCCTGAAGGAAGGTAGTGGTGGGGGAGATGGAGAGAATGGGGCAGATTGGAGATATTGAGGGGACTGCAGCACTGACAGTCTATTGTGTGACTGACTGGAAGTGGGAGGTGAGGGGAAGAGAGGAGTTACGGAAAGTTTTCGGCTAGAGCACTGCCTGAGATAGACAACACAGAGGTAGAAGCATGTTTAGGGAAGATGGATGGGGGTAGTTGAACGAGTTTAATTTTGAACTCCCTTTGTGATCATGAGACCATATGCTGATAAATATCCAGAGCTCTAAACCGAGACTGAGATAGAATATGCATCTTTGAGAGTGAATGACATAAAGATAGTAATCGAAGCTACAGATACATGTGATCAATTTTGGAGAAAATAATTAGAGTGAGAAAGAATAGGTCTTAGAGAGACTCCTGAGGAACTCCAACATGGTAAAGGACACAAAAGACACTGAGAAGGGACAGCCAGAGAGGTAAAGGAAAATCTGAAATCCCTACAGTGAGAGAAACCAAGTAAAGAGGAAATTTCAAGAGTGGTCAACAGTATATATATATATATAGAAGCATTTATTTGAGGTTTAACATGAAATCATACAAATAAAATTTGTATAAACACAAGTCCACATTGAATTATAATATAGATAGCAAAAACAAAGTAAAAACAAAACTAAAACTAATCGGTGGCTATATACAGTTGGACACAGTTGCGTCTTGTACACTAGAAAGTCTTTTACAAAATAATCATCTTAGAGCAACAGAAGATCAATGTTCAGTGTCATCCTGCAGGATGGGTTACTTTAGCAATCTCTTCCTGTTTTCTCCAATGATTATTTTATTTTAACATGTATGTTCCATCTCTAAGTTGACAGTTCACTTAAAACAGAGCTTCTGAGAGAGATCAAAAAGCACATGAAGAAAGTGGGCTAGCGTTATTAGATATTACAGTCCTACCACCAACTCTTCATGTCCCTTGAACTCATGACAACTTGAATATATCAGATTACTAGAAAAGTAGCTTATTTAGAAAAACCTTAGTGCCTTAGAGAGTTCATTCACTCTCATATATTGAGTACTTAGGCTTCTTA